ATTTAAGGTTTTCATCACAAACTGACAAAAGTTATAATGCTAAAACTCTATTTAGCCAAAAGGATGAATGAACTTCGCGCTAAAATCCAAGACCTGTTATCCTTAATCTGATTGGCTCGTCAACAAATTATAGTTTTGCCGGACTTTTTATTCCAGTTGTTCAATGATCACACTGCCAAGAAATAAAGGATTATCTCATTCTGTTAAGATTTTATATAATCTGATGAGAATGATCTTCTTAATCGTAAATGTCTAATTTGAATTTAAGTACAGCTTACATCACGAACGGAATTTACATAAACATCCATTTTATGGAGCGGTGGCCCCAGTGGTTAGGACGTCTGACTTCAAACTTCTAAATCCTGAGTTCATACTACACTGCACCTACTTCTGCTTGAGTAAAGGGATTGTATCTCTAACCCTCACACTTGAAATGTGGCCTAAAATAAACTGTACCTGGTTGCACCTAGTGAAGAAGTTTGTAAGAAAGAAGGAAAACCATTGAAACTAGGGTATATTAAACTTTTTTAACTGGAAAATCAACATTACTTGATGAAGGGAAGGAGGTAAAGAAGCAACAAATTTCAAGTTTGGTTAGTGTCTAGTTCTCCCGAAATTGGCATTGAGTTGTACTACTCGAATTAAGCCTGGGCTGTGTCTGGCTATCCTTGTAAACGCGATTGAACCGTACTGTTTGGGTTGTCACATTAAGGTCTGGATGATGTCTAGTTCTCCTGAAAACCAATATAGAATTACCATGGCCCACAAAAGTATATTATGTAACTGTAAAATCTCACGTTTGCTCCATTGCCAATATCTGTTTTTTTAGTTGAAAAAATGTGATTAGGTCCTTTATTAAGGAACAACTCGATGAACCGTTTTTCATTCATAACCCTAACGTAGAAGACTCCTCAATATTGTATACTTTCAACTCTTCTCCAGAACATTAAAATTTGTAGAGAGTTCATTACCTTTAGACATTTAAAGTTAAATTATATAGAAGCGTGTTTTCCTAAATCTATGATGAATAGTCTACGTCCAACAAATTTGGTAACAACTTGTTATTATCTCAGCCATGTTATCTTCTACATCCATTGAAACAGCTAGGATGTTTGTATGTGTTGTATTCCTGACAGATTAAGTATTTGTTAAACATATTCAGGTGATCAAAAATGTAAACATCATAGGGTGTAGTGATACACAACATAAATTTCTATCTATGTGTTTTCACACCTCACTGGAATGAGATTCAGAATACATGAAGCCCAATAAGTCCTCAAACATTTTATTAGTGCATGGTAACATGTTCATAAGAGAGAAAGTTATTAACAACAAGCAAACTTAGGGATTTACGGAATATCATCCAGTGAAGTGTAGGTCGTGGTGTCATATGATTTGTAAATTTATTATAAAACAACCTAACACAATCATATTTGAGATAAAACTAAGGTAGATGCAAATTACTTATGTACTTAGAGTAGTAACAATAACACTTTGTTACCAAATTCGGAAAATTATACTATTTGTTAGAACCAGACTCTTCATCATTTCGAATCTCACGGGGCGGGATCATGGATGCGCACTGCTGAGGAGTCCCACAATCGGACGAAACGGCCGTCCAGTGCCTCCAAGTTTCCCATGATGGTCTAGCTTCAATTGACCTCAACCAATCGAAATTATTATAATATCCACAAAAACCCTTCTTCATCATATGTTTAGGAAAACACGTTTTTTGATTGATCGTAAGGCAAAGTGGACAGAATGTATATCGGACATATTTCAAACTATTAAAAAGGTTGTTCCCCGTTTCACTGATCACCTTTATCAACATGTGCCCATTTCATAATCGCCTTTATTATAATGTACTCCTGTTTTATTTGTCCCCTTTGCTGGCACTATTATTATTATGAACTGTTTAAATATTATGCTCTGTTTGTTTTTCATTATTTTGAAATGTACACTTTTATGAAGTTTTTTTTCAGTAATAAGGTGTATTTATGTTTATCACTTACTTACTTTCGCCCGTTACCCTTCGTGGAGGAACATAGGTCGCTCAACAACATTCTCCATCGAACTTTGTCCTGAACAATCGTTTCCAGTTCTTGTCAGTTGCTATTCATTCTTTTGATGTCTGATTTTAATTCCCAACGTAGTGTTTTCTTTGACCTTTGGTGACTTCAGCAATGTATGTCCTATCCACTTCCAGTGTCTTCTCTTAATTTCCTCTTTAGTTGGATGTTGGTTTTTTCTTTCTCATAGTAGGCTATTGCTGATGGTATCCAACTAGTTGACATTAAGTATCTTGTGTAGACAAGTGTTTGTAAATGCTTGAACCTTTTTGATGATGGTTGTAGTAGTTCTCGAAGTTTCAGCTCTGTACAGTAGAACTATGTTGAAGTTGGTATTAAAGATTGTGACTTTGATATTAGTTGACAGACAGTTGTTTTGAGTTCCATATGTTCTTCAAGTGTATGAATGTTGTCCTTGTTTTTGCGATCCTTACCTTTACATCTACATATTGTCCTCTTTGTTTATGGATGATGCTGACCAGGTACATGAAAGTGTCATCCTCTTTCAAAACGTTTTCATCAAGTGTGATTGAGTTTATGTTGTCCATGTTTTTCTTCAGAATTTCGCTATTTCCTTTGTGTATGTTTAGACCCACTGATGCAGGGGCTTCTAATAAGCTGGTTGTTTTAACCTGCATTTGTTGGTGTTTATGGGATAGAGGGGTCAGGTCATCTGCAGAGTCCAAATCGTCTAGTTGCATACAAACTCTCTATTGTATTTGTGTATTCCCTGAGATGTGGTCATAATAATCCAGTCGACCACCACCAGAAGAAAGAGAAAGAAGGAGATTAAGCAGCATAGTGTGACTCTTAGTCGTCCTCCATACATGACTTTGTATTGTAGTTCGTCGTACGAATTGCGGTTGATGTTGACGATTTTTTAAGGTACATTATAGTGTCAAAGAAGATCCCATTAGGTTCTCCTATCGACTCTGTAAAACGCCTTCTCATAGTCATCAAGGAAGTTGATGTAGTGTGATGAGTTGCATTCAATTAATTGCTGAACGATGATCCGTAGTTTGGCGATTGTGTCTGTGCACGACCAATGCTTACGGAATCTGTCGTGTTGATCTAAAAGTTGGGCGTCTACTGAGTGTTTCATCCAGTCTAGTAACAGTGTTGAAAACATTTTCTGGTACCGACAGTAGTTTGATTTCTCCACAGTCCTCATATTTGCTCAGATCTCCTTTCTCTGGTGTTTTGATGAGGTGTCCTTCTTTCCAGTCTTTCGGCATTTGTTTTTACTCCCAAATCTTCCCGATCAGAATATGGATCATGTTTGCAGTTACTTCTGTCTGACCTCAGACCATCAGCTGGTATGTTGTCAGATGCTGCTACTTTCCCACTTTTGTTTTGTTTGATGACCACTTTGATTTCTTCGATCGTTGGTGGAGTGACAGCTGTAGGGAGGTCTGTATGTACTGCTTCGACATCTGGTGGAGTTAATGGAGCTTGCCTATTGAAGAGTTCACCAAAGTTTTCTACCCATCTGTTCTTGAATCTCAGTGATTAGCTCACCTTGTTTGTCCTTGATCTGTCTCTCTGGTTTACTATAATTCTTTGTCATTTTCTTCGTTGTATCATATAGTTGTTTGATATTTCCTTCTGTTTCGACTTTCTTGGTTGTCGTAGCTAGGTGTTTGACCCATATCCACCCTCCCTGTTTTACCTGGTCTCTAGTTCGTCAGTAACATTAAGAGGGTTATAGGCGGCGTGTGTAGTAATTTATCTCTTCATTCGTCTCCATTTTTTTCAATCATTTAAAATTCAAGTTTACATCCTAATACCTCTAATTAAAATTTTGCAATTTTACTTAACTATATTACTTAGAAGTAGTTGTATTTTTGTGTAAAATCTTTACTACTTAACGTTTTATTATCTAGTCATATGATTGTTTGCTTTTTTTATTGACTGAACTTTTATGCAAGTAATTCATAACCTTGGTGTAAATGCATCTGCATTTGATAACCTACTTGATTTATTCAATCAATATCTCAGATTTGTATTTGTGTTTTTCTGAATTAACATTTTGATGCGTGCTACTTATATTGACATGAGTAATATATGATGTTAGTCGTAAACAGAAGGTCTGCCAGTTGAGAGATAAGTGGATCGAACAGTAAAGAATGGGAACAGAATGCAATTTGTATGAAAATACAAGAACAATGATGTCTGAGTCATTTTGAGACAATTGATGGACATTTTGCAAATTAAGCATTTACTTGATGATTGTTAGAGTTTATTAACAAGTTCTGTAATTTTGTGTTAAATACATTTGATTGTCCCCACCCGTGTTTTGCTTACTACATTTGGTGTAGCTGCCAACCAGGACGGGACGGGTGCTGTTCTGCGAACGCCGTTGCGGGCTTGGGCTGAGGTGCTAGTTGGGGCAGTCTGATGCGTAGAGGCGGCGTCGAGCGGAGTGTTCCGGTGGGCGGTGTTGGCTTCAGCTTGTTCTGTCGACGGAGAGGAGCGTGAGAGTCAATGGTTATTTCTGTTAAATCCTACATTGATTATGACTGATTGGTTTATCCCTTGTTTTTCCGTCATTATAGTGTCTTGAACTATCACTGTTTCTGTGAGACCATAATTTACGAACAACCTTGGAGCGACGCTATAGTGGCCTTGAGAGTGCCTACCTACTAGGGCTATATGAGGATTATAAACCATTTTGAAGAATAAGGATTATGATTTACAGTTGATGGTTGGTTAGGGTTAGGAATTAGATTCAGTGTTTTTATCACAAACTGACATCAGCTATAATGCCATGACTCTATTTTGCGAATGTGTGAATGAATTTCGCGCCAAAATCTCAGACCTGTCTGATTGGTTCATCCATAAAATATAGTCTCGCCGTTTTTTTCACTTCCACATAATAAAAGTTCATATTTATGTTTCTTTTGTATATATGGGTATTTCTTGGTGGATCAGCGTGTTAAATCAGGTCAGTACGCTTCACCTCAAGCTTTTCTTGGAGATTTCCGATGGATACTTCATAATTGTATCATATTTAATGGTGGTGAGTGTTTCTTTTGTAACTTTTTTCCCAGTGAACAATAGTATGTATATTTGAAAATGATGGTTACGATTAAATTCAGTGGTTGTTAGCGGGATTTAGATTCAATTAAGGCATATTCCATACAGGATTGTATTGGAACACTCTGACTGGCTGTTTCTTAACCAATCAACGCTAGCGGATACTTGGCAAAAACTCTAGAATATTATTGTGTAAAAAATTATCAATATACTAATGTTTCTCTTATGGTGATACTCACTTCAATCCAACCTTTTTTTTTACTTGGAATATAATTACGTTCCTGTTCAACCGTGTTCTGATATGGAAACTTGCCAATTGAACTAGTGTTCAAGACTATTAAGCAATAAGAGCATCTTGGTCATAATAAATGAGTTCATAACAATGGTGAACTAAATATGATCTGCAAGATTATTCATAATTATATATGAAATGGGTCAAATGCTTATGTAGACTATTTGTGACGTCATAATGATGTTAAACTTGTATTAAATCATCGAGTATTCAACGCATCTGGTAGCGTAAAATATGGACCACCGATTTCAAAGTATGTCTTGCTTACAGTAAGATATGAAGGTCTTGGCCTTGGTCCGATGTGGTGTTATAATTGCACACTTTTAGAGGGTTCTTTCAGTGGCCATTAAGGGTAGAGGATACACGTAAGCTACTAGTATTTGACCACAGATGACTTAGAAATATTGCTCGCATCTGTTGGGATCACCGGGTAAGTAATAGTGAGGTTAGACACAGGGTATTAGGGAATGGTGGTAAATCAGTTGGTGAAGTTGAAAATCTTCATCGATTGAGATAGTTGGGTCTCGTGTTAGGTATGCTTGAATACCGATTACCACAACGCGCAATGCAGACTAGTGGTGGAGATGGTTGGGAGAAAGTTAGGCGCGGACAAACCAAAACGTAGCGTCAGTTATCGAAGTCACTAACACATCAATAATCCAGTTAGATTGTAGTCGAAAATGGCATTTCGGAATAAGTCAATTTTTCGCTAAGAGTGTTCATTTTTCTTCTTCAATTTTAGCTAGTTCTTCTATTACATCATCTGCACGTCTTCTAGATCGTACATTTCATCGTGAGTTTAATTTAATGCGTGCTTGTCCAACATGTTATCTTAATCGTATACCAGCAATTCATTTATTACCATCGACAACTAGAAAACTACCTCCATTAACCGAAAATGAACCTGAATCTTATTTAACTGTAGCTTCAGTACAATCATCATTGTTATTACCAAATGAATCAAATGAGATCATTGAAAATGATAGTATCAACATTGTCAATGGTGTTAACGATGAATGCAACAATAATACTCCTACTAATACTACTAGTAATAATAATGAATCTAAAAGTTCGTCATCATCATCGGTATCTACATTAGATCCTTGGTGGTTTTGTAAATTATGTGTAAGTATTTATATGTTTGTTTTATTTACTTTGTGATTGAGTCATTAATCTTGGATAAGTATCAAATGTATAATCACTAGGAACACTCAACCATTTACATATATATAAGTATATACATTTAGCTATGTGAACTCAGTAGCTAAATAGATAATGATTTAGTATTTAATTTTGAGTCACAGTGTGAAAATTAACATTGAGATTACATTAGATACCTTCAGTTGATCAGTTCGTAATAAAAGGGATTGTAAATTCAAAATTTCACTGTTAGCTATTATTCAACTTTACTAAAAATTGTACCTAAATGTAATATAGAGACACAAACGCTGAAGATTTCTGGGGGGGGGTTAACACATCTAAAAAATGATCACTGTGAGGTAAATACATTTATTTTACTCTATAAATTCATTCACTTCTTCGAACCCTGTATTGTTTATATTTAGTCCTGCTCACAGTTATATTCAAAGTACCATTATATAGTTGTATAATATACCCTTGTGAACCAGGGTCATTTTACATTGGTTTTCAGGAGAACCAAACACCATCCAGATTTTCACATGACAACCCAAACAGTACAGCTCAATTCCGTTTACATGGAGAGCCAGATACCGCCCAGGCTTAAATTTTGTAACCCGAACAGTACAGAACAGTCCCGCTTCACAGGAGAACCAGACACCGTATAGGCTTTAACGCTACAATTTGAATTGTATAGCTCAATCCTGTGGCGCAACCACATAGGTACTAAGCACCCTGGTAGACCATTTGCACCATTCATATACACATTCACATGACATGTTTAGTTATCCCGATCAATGATCACTTGAAGTACCATTACTTTGACTTATTCTCGATTCATCTTATTAATTTTATCTCACTATGTTAATATATATTAAGAAAGAGCAAATATATAGCTCAGTTATTTTTAGTTACAATTTTCAGTTAATTAATATAAATAATTGTCATAATGAGAAAATCAGTGAAAACCTGGAAGCACTGGATGAACGTTTCGTTCTAGTATAGAACTTCTCAACAGTGCTCATCTGCGATCCTGCATGCAGGACTCGGACCCAGGACCTTCGGTCTCACACGAACTCTTAATCTCTAGACCACTGAGTCGGCATCCAACGGTGTGAATAGACTAAATTCAATCAATCCATGACACGATAATTCTCTAAATTATATTCATTCATTAAGGTTATCGGATAATTTATGTTATGTACTACTCAGTTCAGTGTATTGAAGTTTACAAACTGTGACCATTTTTTTTCGCGTTACTTGCCTCTCAGTATATTATTATTTATTACTATTACATCAGTAATGACAACAAACTGTGGTACGAAATGTCCAATCACCTAGACTAGTGGTGCTTAAATAGAACAACTCTAGTGCTGAGAAGACATAGATCCTTTTATCTGTGTAGGGTTTTGTAATGTCTTCTTGAATTTTCATGCAGCTAGAATATACTTGCTACACTGGGAAATCAATCAAATTTAACATGGTAGCTACTGAATATTTTTCACGAACTTCAAAACGAACTGATGGATAAGTTGTATCTTATGAAAAACTAAGTGGGTATTATCAGTATTTGGTTATTCAAATGCTTGAACTCAATAAATAAGGAAGGCATCAAGGAATAAAGACCATAGTTTTTAAGGTATTAAAGTTAACCTTAAGATTCTTTATATTTTAAAATCAAAGAACCACATTATCTGTGTACAGTTTAAGAGCATTTGTCTACTCGATGTATTACCATTGCCTTTGACTAATAATACTATACATTGTAAGCGTAATCCAATTAGCTGCTTACGCCTGTTACTCCTCGTGGAGGGGCATAGGCCACCCACGAGGTAATCCTATTCTCAAGCCCTAATTCATATACCTCAATTGTAGTTAAAACTCCTAACCCTAATTCATCATCAATACATCTTATCTATCTATGGTTTTTATCTAATGAAATTGGTGTTACTTTCTTATGATTCGTTTAAGGGTCACTGAATCTTATTACTATAGTGTACTTTTACATTTTCAAACTTGCGTGTAATCAAATGATTGAAACTAAACATTTTTCATAACTATAATTTGATTTTTATCATAAGAATTATCGTTATCATTACTTAGGATGTGATTCATCCGATTGTCTGGGTACGTCTTCAAAATTATCCACGTTGGCCAGCCAAAGTAATTGCACATGATGGTAACTTTCTTCTTGTCTCATTTTTTGGTGATTATGATGTGACTATTGCACCGATTGGTTCCGCTAAACTTCATTCATCTAGTCAATCAAAAAATTTATCGAAACTATCTACCATCACTATAGATTCTATTAATAATAATAATAATAATAATAATAATAATAATAATAATAATATTGACAAGGAAAGTAAATCTGATTGTAGTGGTACCAAATCCATTACTTCTATTGATAATAATGACATTTCTAATGAATCTAGTGTAACTTCTCAATCTTCCAAGACAACTTCATCATCATTACCTTCAATATTAACAACAGTAACAACAACAATGGATCCTATGGTTAAAGAGAATTTTCATAAAGCTGTTGCAGAATTAAATTATCATCTAAATTTAATTTATCAACGTTATCCTAAATTTAAACTACCTATTAGTCAATTGAGATTTACTAAACGTCATGTTAAAAAATACTATGGGTAAGTAATTATGAAAGTGCAATTTTATTATTGAATGTCTATAAATTTTCAGTGTTATAATCGATCAGTCATGACTTGGAAAAGCCCAGATTGACTTGAGTTTACTATTATTTATTTCTTTTAACACATAGATTGGTACAAGGGGGCACAAAATACATAAGCGCCACAAAAATCTCATTTTATTTGTGTGAGGGTTGTGATACTGCCCGGGTGCCCAAACCGACGCAGGTGGTTTTCTTGGGGAACCACTCCCCGAGCCTTCGACCTGAAGGTCTGATCTACAAGGCAGTAGAGCATCGTAAGGAGATGCAGTCCCATGGAAGCTGGTGACCAACAATTGGTTCATACGCCATTTGTTCCCTCAGGATCCTGGAGCTCATGTGCACCATTGGTTTAGAATGAGAGTTTTCCAACTCCCCTAAATGGACTCGTCATGTCCACGATCCCGTTTAAGGCGCTGGACATCCGCTTTTCGTCTTCTCAATTTCGTAAACAACACCCCGCTATGAGAATGCAGTGAGTAGGACTTCTCTGGCTGAGGCTATATACGCGTGGCCATGTGAGAGCATTTGGAGAGGGAGAGCGGACTCTCCCCAGTCTCGGCCATATCAGGGTATTTGGGGGCTAACAAATCAGATACGACTATATATCGGAAACTAGAGAAAGGACTCGAATCTAAATTATCTAAGATCAGAATTCACAATGTTTGTGATCCATGTGATCTATCTCTATCTAAATGATGTATTTATCATCATCATTCATCTTTATATGATCTGTACAATAAACTGATCAATCAAATATCATATATCTTTTTGCGAAAATTAGTTGCTCTATCGAAATCCTCATTTAATCTGTAGTAGGTATCAATATACACAAAAGAAAAAGCATGATCCTCATATCCATCATGGAGAAAAACCAATTCAATCACATTTGATGGAAAAGTTTTGAAAGAGGTGGACACTTTCATGTACCTGGTCAGCATCATCTATGAACAAGGAGGATCCGATGTAGATGTAAAGGCAAGGATTGGAAAAACTTCGAGAACTACCACAACCATTATAAAAAAAATCACATGTATCTATGATCAATTATTTAAACAAGATACTCAATGTCAATTAGCCGGATACTATCAGCAATAGACTATTATGAGAGAGAAAAAACCAACATCCAACTGAAGATAAAATTAAGAGAAGACACTTGAACTAGATAGGACATACATTGACGAAATCATCAAAACTGCATCACGATCCAAGCGCTAACTTGGAATCGTGAAGGGGAACGGAAAAGAGGAAGGTAAAAAAACAAACTACATTGGGAATTGAAATCAGAATTCAAAAGTTTGAATAATAACTGGGAACGGTTTTCAGGACAAAGTTCGATGGAGAATGCTATTGGGGTGGCCTATGCTCTACTCATTGGTTCTCCCGGCGGGGGTGTTGTTTACAAAATTTATCGGATGAAAAGCCAGTGTTCGGCACTGTAGCCGAATTAATCGGTTCAAAGGACAAGGATAATGTACTAGATATAAAGGATTCAGCATATAATATAGTGATTGTTGTTATCTGCCATATTTCTGTTATACCAATGTTAATATAGGTTGTTTTCTTACGATAATTTACTGATTCATCAATTGTCTGTTAGTCAAGTTATCATTTATTCAGATTTAATCTGTTAAGCAATGTGATTTAGATTGATATGACTATAAGTTTACCTGAAGTATTTTCCATACAATTTAATTCGTTTATACTTTCTCACTTAATGTTGTCCAAAATAATCACTCAGTTTGTGTTAGTTAGGGGTAGCTAAACCAAAAAAATGGCATCAGTCCTTGAAGTCACTAAATTCTAGTCTGAGCTATGTAGATGGAGACGACGTGACTGGAGTCTGCGTGATTATCGTAACCAGTAGTGGTTGGAGACTCTGGGTAACATGGCTCAGAATCGATCACAATGGCATAGGTGTATACACTCTTTGTCTTTCCTTAAACAATGAGATTAAAATTACTTTCTACCTTTCTTTTTACGAACTAGTTCTTTCTTCTTCCGTCATATCCTTAGATGCAATCATTTTTTAAATATTACCATTGAAGTAACTACTATGAATTTGTTGTTCGTCTTGTTGTGTTCATGAGGTATGGCAACTTGGACCGATGCATATATGTGCCTGGTCCTACATTGTAGATGACTGACTGTTAACCTGATTGTTGATAATTAATAATTTTCATTGGTGATGTAAACATTATTGAGTTTTCTTGAAGCGAAAAACAAATAAACAATTTCTATATATGAGAAGGGGTTTTGTGGAGGTTTTAGAAATTTCACTGATTGAAATCATGAGACAATTAAAGCAAGAGCACCGTTGAAAACCTGGAAGCACTGGACGGCCGTTTCTTCCTAGTAAGGGACTCCTCAGCAGTGTGCATCCACGATTCCACCTCACGAGATTCGAACACAGGACCTATCGGTCCCACGCACAAGCGCTTAACCACTAGACCACTGAGCTGACTGGCATCCGATGGCGTTAATGTCTAACTTCAACTAATCCACGAAATTGAGCGCCACATCCACCGTTGTCATCAGTGAGTTATTATCTCACATCAGACCTGGTTGAACGTTACTGATCACTGTTTCTCACTAGAACTCCAGGATATACCTCTTGAAGCCAGTCAGTAGTGAGCATATGCTGATTAGTATCAGAAAGGGTTTTTGTGAATATTATAGTAATTTCAATAGTTGAGATCATATGTCAATTGAAGCTGGACTATCATGGATGCAACTGCCACCCAGTGCTTCCAGGTTTTCCAGAAAAACCCCTTCTATTGGTAATTTCATTGCCTAATTGTAAACCTAATCAATTACTATTTTTATTCTCATGTAATATTTCTCCGTTCAACTTGTATCGATATTATAATTTCTATTCTTTCTCTTTTTTCGGTGGTCTGTTGATTTGAATTATGGACTATTGAGCTGATTTATAGTTGTATTAGATGTTATTATATTAACCTTGAATCAGTCTGAATTTTATGGATAGTTAATGATTGCATAGAATCAACAATCTAGGCCATATTATGAAAAAACTCATAGTCTAAATAATATTTACTCTTATATGAATCTATTTACTTGAAAAAAGTAATGTGTCCAATGACCTACATTGAAGAATTCTTAGAACTATTGGATCAAATAAACAAAACTGTCTAAATCAAACTGGCTTCATTTGTCTCTAGTCTATACGATAAAGTTGTATCATCTTTTCCAACAACCAGAAACCTAAATTAACGTCTCCTTAGTACATTAGGTTCACTGACTTCTCACGACGGAAGTGTTGTTTACGAAATTCAGAGGATAAAAAAAGTGAATGTCTGGCACTTTAACCGGGTTAGTGAATATGAAGGATCCACCTAGAGAAGTTGGAAAACTGTGATTCCAAATCAATGGTGCACATGGGCTCCAGGATCCTGAAGGAACAAATAGTATATGGGATTGCATCTCCTCACGTTGCTCCATTACCTTGTGGATTTAATCTTTGATTCAAAGTCTCCGAGTGTAACCCTCTAAAAAAACCAATTGCTTCGGTCTGGTCACCCGGGCAGTATTATAGCTCACACACACAAATCAAATGACTTGTGTCATGTATATGTACTTAGTACCTTATTGTACCAATGTTTGTGTGTTTAAATAAATAAATATAGAAATCAACCAGACCAATATTATACTATAACATTTTCTTCATTATTCAATCAACTTAATATCATGACATTTATGTATAATGTATGAATATGGATGATCCATCTAGGGGAGTTGAAGAACCTTGATCTCAAACCAATAGTTGCTTATGAATTTTTAGTATCCTGACAGAACAAAAGATGTATGAACTTATTGTTGGTCACCGTCTACCATGAAATTACATCTCCTCACGTTACTCCACTGCGTTGTGGATTAGACCTTTAGGTTGAAGGCTCCACCTACTACAGTTTGGACACCCAGGCAGTGTCACAGCTCTCACACCCTTACCTTATTGTACCAATGTTTTATGTGTTTAAATGAATAAATATTACATATCAACCAGACCAATATTCTACTATAACATTATCTTCATTATTCAATTGACTTAAGATCATGACATTTATGTATAATATTCACAATAAATCTTTTCATTTGTTTATCTATTTATCATTATTATATATGATGACCTTTTATTATTATTATTTTTTTAAATTAGCTACTACTGTTACTACTACTATTCTTGTTCTTAAATTGTGATCATACCATGTTTCTATGTATCTATCTATCTATTTAAATAAATAAATTTGTTACTATAGATTGGTATTGTTTAATTAATGCACTTATAATGTTAGTGTATGCAAGTAACCTACCTTACCTACCTATCTAGCTTACCTGCCTACTTACTTAACTAACTACTATTGACTGGTCATTAATTATAATTCTGATAAATAAAGTTCTTCAAAATGTATGATAATTGAGTGAGTGTGTACGTGTGTGTGTGTGTGAGAGAGAGAGAGAGAGAGAGAAAGAGAGATAGGTGTGGAACAATACTTTTGGTGAGTTTGTGTTTTACTTGATTTAACAAGAAATTTGTTCAAAGTTCAATTATATATAAATTTTTTTCAGATTACCTTTTTTTTCTACATGTGAAACTATAGAAAATTGAGTGTTATTCTTTAGTTAGACCAAAGAACAACTCAAATATATATAGTAACTGTTATATATATATAAGTGTGTGTGTGTATGTGTACACATCTGTTTCTACCTTATTCTACTACTGTTATTGTTCACGGACCTTAGTAATTAACCATTGACCAAGTATATATATATATATATATATTCTGTGAATTTATCATATTATTATTACTACCACTGCTACTACTACCTGAATTACAATTTGGCATTAAACACATTGAACATATTTTAGTTATATGATATACAATTTGATTTTGATTAGAATTTTTTTTTATAAGTTTCTACTTTTGTGATATTCTTCAGCATCTATCTGTAAGTTGGCATCATATTTTATAATTGTTATGTATTCTTTATGAATAATTCATTGATGATAAATGTGTATATGGGTTAGATTTTTTTTAATTTCTTATTGATGGGTCATGTTAGTAGGTGTAGACTATCTGGTTGGGATTCGTGAGATGATAGAAACTGATGGTTAGAGATGTTGAATGTGACATGGCTCAAAATGGTTTATAATGGCACAGGTGTATCCAGTCTTTGTGTTCTCCCAAATTTTTAATCTACTAAATCCTCGTTGTCTCTTTTTTTCTCTTTCGATATTTATTTCACTGGATTATACTCCTTGAATAACATCTTTAAAGCTAAATGTTTCCGATTACTGCTTACACTCTTACTACCTCTAACAATGGGATTTGAATCGACAGTTGCAACTCTGTGGTAATGTGCTATGGCAACTTGATTTGATGTACATACTTACGTATGTACAAAGTTCTACGTTGTTACTGACTGATTGACCTATTGATTCATACACTATGAAAGAATCAATATTCGATGATGATACCTCAGGAAAGGTAATTGAATGTTGACAACTGTTTGCAGCTGGTCACATACGACCTATCAGTTAGCAAATGAATAAACTGTATGTCTACATATATATAGCTGATGAAGTTATAAATATTAATTAACAAGTAATAATGTCAAAATTAAAATGTGACAGTTCTTGATTGAGGCCATGAATCAATTTATGTTAGACCACCATTGAAAACCTTGAAGCACTGTACGGATATTTCGTTCTATTATGGGACTCCTCATCAGTGAGCATCTACGATCTCGCTCAGGGGATCCGAACGCGCGAACGCTTGACCTCTAGACCACTGAGCCGCGCCACACAAATCTCATTTGACTTGTGTGAGGGTTGTGATACTGCCCAGGTGCCCAAACCGAAGCGGGTAGTTTTCTTAGGGGGTCACACCCAGAGCCTTTGACCTTAAGGTCCGACCCACAAGGCAGTAGAGCATCGTAAGAAGATGCAGTCCCACGGTAGCCGGTGACCAACAGTTGGTTCATACGCCATCTTTTCCTTCAGGATACGAGAGCCCATGTGCACCATTTGTTTGGAATGAGGGTTTTCCAACTTCCCTAGGTGTACTCTTAGTGTCCACTAAACCGGTTAAAGCGCCAGAATCCGCTTTTCGTCCTTCTAATTTTGTAAACAACACCCCGGTAGGAGGAAGTGAAGACTTCCCTGACAGAGGCTATTACACATCTAGTCACTGTCCATCTTTGCTTAAAAAGCTTGTGATTTAAGGCTATATCGATGCAATCCTCACAGGATGCACATATGCCAACATAAGACCAATCAATTGCAGTCCTAAATAACAATGGGAAGATATAAGTAAAACAACACCAAGTGAATTTATGTGTATTTCCCGTCTGTTTCTAGTAAATCTGATCATTTGTCGATATTTACAATTAATTGATCTCTAGTTTCATGATTTTCCAATTCTTTGATACTAATCGAATTGTAATGTAGCCATTGGTCTAAGTGAATTAACATCCAGTAGAGTATACTGTGATATTATTTTACATGGTTGGAAGTAGTCTTCAAGAAATCCATAACTTATGTTTTAGGCTAGTTAACACTTATCAAAAAGACACACCTTAATCGATAAAATTTGATCAAACAAACATGCCAATAATTACTATTCTGTGAAAGAATACCAATTCTTGCAAGATTACACGTTCTCCCTCATGATGAGTACCAACTAGCAGGAAACTTAGGACTAGGGTCTCTGATCAACTACCACCTCTAACCGCCTAATATTCCTTGATATCATTGTTTTCCTATCGTATGTCATGTTGAAGTCTTTCCACTCCAGTATTGTCAGTGATATATACTTACACAAGGAATAGCTTTTAGAAACAAATCCTAATTCAATTTTCTTTGTTGTTGTCAATACTAGAAAGATGAAAGACAGAAATGAGTCCTTAACAGAAGGTTGTCATTTTGAACATGTATAGGTTAATTCTTCTTCATTTGACTCCAATATAAAATGTCTCGTTAACTAAGTATTTTACCAGGCCGATTATTGTAGTAGTACTATGAATTTACTTGAGGATATTCAAAAGCCAGAACACTAGTTATTGAGATAGTATTGTTAATAATTAATAAAACCCATAACCACGAGAGAGAGAGAGAGATAAGCATATTAGGCAGTGAGTGAGTGAGCTCCTCTGGGGATACTGCCGGTCCCAAGCTCGGATAAAGGAGGAGGGTTGTGCATGGGGTTAGCGACCCCATCCTGTAGAAAGCTAACTCGTTTAAAAGACGCTAACCGAAAATATTGTTAATCAATAATGGGTAAATTATTGATTATAATAAAAAAATCTCAATCAGCTTATTATAAATCCATAGAAGACACTTGTGCGTTTTATACCGTTTTTCTTCGTCATAACAAATCACCAATCATTATCTGTTGTGACTTTAAGCCATAATCGAAATACAACTTATACAATCTTAGTACTGTGCAAACCCAATGACATTCAACTGGTATGAGCAGCCTAGCGTCCTTATTGTTCCTTTGTTCGCCGAGCTCTTCCAGTTGAGTTCAGAACACCAATAACAGCTTCCATTATACGAATCATTTATTTCAAACATACTTGGTTTATATTCCAACCAAACAGACAGGATCAAATAGAAAAGAAAATTTATACACAAGATCAAGCCAAAAAGTAGTTATGAATGTGGGAAACTTTAATTAATAAACTGAGTATAATTTAAGAACAGTAAATCGTATAATCTTTAGGTCAAAATAAAGGTTATAATAAGAGGAATATAGATACACACAACCTAGTTACTGAATAATTATAGAATAAGAATAGTTCTCAGAAGTTACTCATAGTTTTGATCTTCATTGGGATATGACATTTTCACTATCCATAACACCAATATTGTGTCTCTGATCTAAATATCTGAACGTGTAATTTACAAACTTTGTTGTAATCATATATTTCATTGATTAAATACATATGTTATTTACTCGACTTCGATACATTCTACTTGCATCTAAACTAATGACAGCCTCTGCCAGGGCAGTCCTACTCACTGTCTTCTCCTACCAGGGGTGTTGTTTACGAACTTGAGAGGACGAAAAGCGAATGTCCGGCGCTTTAACCGGATTCCAAACCAATGGTGCACATGGGTTCCAGTATCCTATGGGAACAAATGGCGTATGAACCAATCGTCGGTCACCGGCTATCATAGGACTACATCTCCTCACGATGCTCTACTGCTTTGTGGATCAAACCTTTAAATCAAAGGCTCGGGGTGTGGCCTCCTAAGAAAAATACCTGCTTCGGTTTGAGCACTCAGGCAGTATCACAGCGCTCACACAAATCGAATGTTTTATGTGACGCATATGTATTTGGTGCCTCCGTGTACCAATGTTTATGTGTTTAAATAAATAAAATGACACTCCTTGAACTAAGTCATTGTTTCCAGATTCCAACATGTGACCTTTTGGTTGGAAGCTTAGTATTTATGAACATTAAGCTATCGTTTCATATCCCAAGATTTAGTTACATAAATTTTTTAATTAATGAATTAAGTGTGAATGTTCAACCAAGGTGTTTGGCGTTGTTTAGTTTACTATTCGTTCTAATAATTGGAACTGAACACTAAGCATCTATTCATAAAAATTTGTCATAATAATTCAAATTAATTTTAATAGTTGAGATCATGATTCACTTCAAGCTAGACCACCATGAAAAGCCTGAAAGCACTGGACTACCGTTTCGTTCTATTGTGGAACTCCTCGTCAGTGTGCATCCACGATCCCGCCTCACAAGATCCGAACACATTACCTATCAGTCTCGCGTGCGAGCGCTTAACCACTAGACCACTGAGCTGGTTGGTATCCAATGGTGTTTATGTTTAACTTCAACTAATCCACGAAATTGAGCGACATATCCACCATTGTCATTAGTGAGTTACTCTCTCACAACAGACTTGGTTGAACTCCGCCGATCACTGCTTGCAGGTTTTCTATGGTGGTCTAGCTTCAATTGACTCATGATCTGAACTATAATATCCACAAAAACCCTTCTGATATTAATTCAAATTAAACTAAAGAATTGATAAAAGTGGGAAAAAGGTTAATTTTTTTTTTCAAATATCAACCCAAAATTGTTTTCTTTTCATAGTCCATTCATTGAAACTCCTCCTCCTACTTCTTCTACATCTGAAACAACAATAAATCTCATTAATGATACTAATTCTATCATTGATATGAATCATACTGTAAATACAACACAAGTGATTTGTAATACAACTTCTCATAGTATCAATACAATCCCTTCAACAAATGTTAATATTACAACTAATGAAAAAATAGATAATACAATTAAATCAAATCGTATACCTTCTACAAATGATGTATATCGTGAACCAGTTTTAACACGTGTTGCTGCTAGTCTACGTAATTCACCAATTATTACATCAGAATCAACATCATCATCAACAGTCTTACAAACTTTATGTCAACCAATGATTGATGTAAATCCTATGAAACGTAAATACAATGATACATCTTCATCATCAACAGTTACTATGGAATTAGAAAGTATTAGCTCGGAAGATATTCATGATACAATTGATTATAATAAGAAAAAACGTAAAAAGAGTAAACATCATCATTTGAAAAAAATTACTTTAAAACCATTATTAATGGAAAATAAAACGACAACTATCATTACCAATTTGGCCAATAATGATGAGATCAATAGTAAAGATGATAATGATAGTAATAATAATAATAATAATATGAATAATGACAATACGGTTGTTATCGAAGAGAATTCATTACCCATTGAAAATGATAGTGAACCTATAGTTTCATTAACAACAGATGAAATACAATCTGTCGCTGATAGTATGATGTAAGTATTTCTCTTCCCAAATTTATTTCACTGTATTATAGTCTTTAAATAACATCTCCAAACACTAATCTTTCCGATTACTGCTTATACTCTTATTACCTCTACCACTACGGGATTTGAATCGACCACTGCATCTCTATGCTAATGTGGTGTGGCAACTCGAACTGATGTACGTACGTACGAAGTTCTACGTTGTTACTGACTGACTGACTGACTTAGACGTAATGCATTTGGTTAAGTTGATTAGTTGTTTGATGAAACTCGAGGCGCTCATCAACTAAGGTGATTTATACTCATGCACTAATTCGGATATTACGATAGTTGCTGGTATTCGGCTATATCGATATGTAATATCATGAAGTCATTGACTTTTGAATTGAGTCATGTTGGTAAGTACAAACGTTTTGGTTATGGTCTGCAAGATAATCTTATTGTGTATGGTCGGGGAGTTTTAATGACATGACTAAAAATTGTTTATCCAATAGCTAACATTTATGTTATTATCCTCGATTTTGACGCTAGATATGCTATGGATTTGGATTGTATTATGATTCTTCATAGTGTTGATCACCAGCTGATCCTAGCTATGTAACCATTGGAAAACTGGAGGCACTAAACAGCTGTTTCGTCTTAGTTTGGAACTACTCAGTAGTGCCGACACACAACATTGCAACCGGTTATCAAACCCATGATCTTTAATCTCACGGGTGACACTTGGCATCAAATGGTGTACATGTCTAACTTCAATCAACTCACTATATTCTTCAACTCATTCATCATTATTATTACAGTTGTTTAATATCCACCAATTATTGATTTCTATTTCCTTAATATCCTCTCTCTTCCTGACGTTGTATTAATACAATAACTTAAATTAATCTACATATTTATCCAGACGTTATATTTTTTGCTACTGTGATTTCAGTTTGATTGGGTAAGTCAAATAATGCACTGAGTCGTTTCATATGAGCTTTAAATTCAGAGATAAGCGTGAGTAGTACACTGTAGGCGTTTAATCATGAACTTCTTAGAAATATTGGTCACGTATCATGGGATAACGTAGAGTACTAGAAAAAGGTGGCCAATTTATTTGTGAGGCTATATATGTTTGTCTCTTAGGTGGTCATGATATATTTCACGTATCCTGAACCACAATTTACCTCGACATGTTGTGGTTGTTGGAGTGGATAAAATTTAAGAGGAAATTACGTGCGACAAAGTCAAACCAGTTCAGTTTGTCATGAATAGCTTAGAGCCCGATGGATGTGTTCATCAATTCAAGCTACCGCATAAAATCGCTACAGTGTGATCAAATTATCTAGACGAATGCCAGAGTATTAGCAGTGTTGGCTGTTGTAAAAGCAATTGAGTATAGCCATTGTGATTCAAGTAGAATAAATAAATGAATCAAAAAGTATATAAGGTATTTTTAGGACTCATTATCTAAAAGGTTATATAGTGAATGCGTCTAGGCCATTGAGACAGATTCTGAGACACACCACTCGAAGTCTTGCTTACGATAATCATGCGGACCATAATCAACATGGCTCTGTACATCAATCACTGACTCTATAAACCGATGTTACATCTTGGTGTAAGGCCGTTTCTAACTTCCTTCCAATCTACTACTACACCAATCATCATCGTACGGTAATTGGACATACGTAATACATTTTACAACCAACTAAGGCGATGAGAATTCACTAACACGTCATCAACCATTTTACTGTTCTTAGTATTCCACATCGGATCTCAGCATTGCTGAAAATACACGAGCAATGCTCAGAAGGCATCCATGTTCAAATACTAGTACCTTACTGTATCTTAAAAGTTACATTTCACAACCGTAAAGTATAACGGAACAAATTGCTACATACTATACTCTACCTTTGGTTGACAAACAGCCATCTCATCTATATCATGGGTATCTCAAGTTGACAAAGGCCTTCCGAGGCTTTTGTACCAATGTAATCGAAATTTCTACAAGATGTTTAAGTCTTCAGTTTTATGTGTTTGTTTTCTTGGGTATTTTTTTACTTCTAAAGACCTTCTACTTCAAACACATCAGACAATGTACATACGATATTGGATGATTTTCGAATTCTGTTAATGAAGCTTTACAAAAATTACAGGAACAGTTAGCTCCTACAATAAATGCTACAGACAAGAGTAAGTATTTTAATAGGATTGTTTGCTTTGATATATTCTGAAACAACAATGGTTTCGTTTCTTAGTTCGAACACACGTACTCGGTCCGTTTAATAATAGAAGTTGTACTATCTGCTCTACTGTTAACCTGTTCTACCAATTTAAAGATTTTATGTCAACATGTAGTGCAGGAAGAAAGAATTAGTTCGTAGAAACAAAGGTATGAAGCGATTTTAATCTCATAGTTTAAGGGAAGACAAAGAGTGTATACACCTATGCCATTGTGATCGATTCTGAGCCACGTCATCCAGACTCGCTAACCATTTGTTACGATAGTCACGCGGACCCCGACCAAGAAGTAATTGACTGTTCGATTGACATTTTGTGGCCCGAAATCTGACTCCAAATGGATTGTTTCTGATTGCTATCGAAGTATACATATCGTCAATCTTTGTATAAAATTATCGACTTGATTCGAGTTCGTGAATAACAGTAGGCGTCCTAGCCACTTTAGTTAATGATTTAATATACCCCACTAACCGATTTTCCACATTTGCCAAGTACCCTATGCCTAACTTTAACATTACTAGACAGATAATACTGAATAACGACAATAACTGCCTATTTTCGGTTAAGATTATGCTTTTATCAGAAGGGGTTTTGTGGAGATTTTAGAAATTTCACTGGTTGAAATCACGAGTCAATTGAAGCTAGACCACCATGGAAAACCTGGAAGCACTGGACGGCCGTTTCGTCCTGGTATGGGACTCCTCAGTAGTACGCATCCACGATCCCGCACCCTGTCATTAATTATATTGAGCTTAATCGTCGAACATCTGTGTATTATTTATATAATCTTTTGGATTTAAAAATCTGAATAAAATGAAAATAACTAACGTAGCAGTATGATATAAGTTCATTTATTACTTGGATTATCACCAGCTACTTACAACTTCTTCTTTTTTAAACATAGACCATCATAATTTACTTTAACCGATGACAAGACTTGACCGACAACCATCAGGCTTGTGAAACAACCGCTAATATCTTTACTCCTATCTGTTCAGCATGAAACATCTCTCTAGCATGGTAGTCAATCGGAACACAGATACAACAAGAAGATAAAACTTTTACTTTTGCTTATCATAACAACCGAAACACACGCTTACATATATTAATTATCACATGACAAATAAAAAAATCTTAGCTTATATACAACCAATTCATAAGTAATAGGAAACGTAGCATGACTTACTTATTTACGCTTGTTACTCCCAATAGAGTATAGGCCGCTGATCAGCATTCGTCCAAACAACCCTGTCCTGTGCCTTTCTAGTTCAATCCAATTTTTGTTCATTCTTCTCATATCTGTCTCCATTTCTCAGTGTAATGTGTTCTTTCGTCTTCCTCTTCTCCTTTGGCATTGAGGATTACAAGCGAGGGCTTACCTTGTGACACAGGTGTGTGCTTTCCTCAATGTGTGTCCTATCCATTTCTAGCGGACTAACTAACTCGCTAAAAGTAAGCTAACCAAACTTAGCATGAGGTGGAAAATTAATTAACAATAGTTTAAGGATAGTAAGATGTATAATAGTACTTAACTTGTCCAACGGAAGCTTACCATACTAGGCAGATTTCAAAAAGATACATTAGTTCAGTCGTGTGATAATTATACTATAAAAACGTTTCTAATGATCCTTCTTAAAATTACTTACACCCGTTACTTTGCACTATAGTCCGTTGTATGAGCTCCGGATAATGTTAACAATCTTCTCAGGAACTCCGTAGTTTCCATAATGTTCTCTTATCCACACTGTCAAACGCCTTTTCATAATCAATGAAGTTGATGTACAGTGACGAGTTCCACTCAACTGATTGTTTGACGATGATCCGTAGTGTCGCGATTTGGTCTGTGCACGACCGATCCTTACGAAATCCAGCCTGTTGATCTCGAAGTTGGACGTCTACTGCGTCTTTCATCCAATCCAGCAGTATCCTGTCAAAGACTTTCCCTGTTACTCACAGTAGTGTGATGCCTCCGTAATTCTCACATTTGTTCAGATCTCCTTTCTTTGGAATCTTGATGAGGTGACCTTTCCAGTCCATTGGCACTTGTTTCTCATCCCAAATCTTCTTGAATAAAAGGTTAAGCATGTTTGTAGTTAATTCGTTGTCTGACTTCAGTGCTTCAGCTGGTATATTGTTAGATCCTTCTGCTTTCCTTTTCTTAAAATAGTTTTAAGATTATCTGCTTTCTCATTATTCACCCTATGCTAACACAGAGGTCTTTAAAAAAACTACATTCAGTAATATTAGCAACTAGCTAGTGATATAACATGAAGAAGATTTACATTTCTAACTACAGTGAATTGTTATTTGTTAATTATCATCGAGATTTTTTTTTAAATGTATTTATTTTATTTTGTTATTTACCTCTGTTACCCGTCGTGGAGGAGCATATACCGCCCACCAGTATTCTCCATTCAACCCTTTCCTGGGTAATCATTTCCAGTTGCTATTCATCCTTTATATATGGTACTAGGTAAATAAGTGCCAATTTTACAACTTTACATGTTAAGAAGTCTTTCAAAATGTATCTTATTTCCTTGAAACTTATCAACATACTTCAATTAATTTAGTAGTTGGATTCATGAGTCAATTGAAATTAGACCATTATGGAAAACCTAGAAGCACTGGACAACCGTTTCATTCTAGTACGGGACTCCTCAGCAATGTGCATCCACGATCCCACCTCACGAGATTCGAATCCAGGATTTATCAGTTTCTCGCGCGAACGCTTAACCTCTAGACCACTGAGCTAACCAGCATCCACAGTGTTAATGTATAACTTCAATTGGTGTATATAAAACAAACACTATACTAGCAAATACTGAGAACTCTTGAAAATCAGATCATAACAGATCTAATGAGCATATTTAACATCATCATATTATTTTTGTCATAATGATCGTCCTGGGTTCGAGTCCGCGAGGCGGGGTCATGTATCCGCACTGCTGAGAAGTCCCACAATAGGATGAAACGGCCGTCCAGTGCTTTCAGGTTTCCATGGTGGTCTAGCTTTAATTGACTCATAATCTTAAACTGTTTAAGTCACTACAAACTCCACAGAACCCCTTCCTGTAATATACATCGATAAATTATTGATTTCTCCCTGTTTTTATTTTGTCACAAAAAGAATATATATATATTGTTCCATTGTAGTTGGTGTTTATCCATTGACTAATTCAGAACTACCAAATTTACATCCAATTTGTTGTGATGTTGCAATACAAACTAATAATGATATCCATCTATTAGATGATAGCAAATCATTGAAAACTATAAATGTGATCAACGATACAAAATCAGTTCAAACCGATATAATGGAAGTATCTACAGATCTTTCTATATTAAATGATTATAGACCACCAACATTACAAGAACGTATGATGGAAGCAGAAATTCTTCGTATGGAACAAGAAGTTCAACGTTTAAATGTATTAGTTAGATATACACGTGCTGAAATGGGATTAGAAATGCAACGTCGTATAGGTGAATTACGTAGAATATGGAATGATGAACTTATTGCTATTATGGAAGCTGCTAGTAGAATATGGGAATATGATGTGATAAGAATTGTTGATATTGTAAAACGTCGTCAATGGGTAAGTTGTATTCAGTAATTGATTGTTTTAAAATTTGTAAAAATGTATATTCATAGATTTTATCCTTTTTAAACTTGACACTGATTTCTTCAACATTCATATTTCGTTCTGATGAGATACTTTAGAACAACATTACCAGGTGACTTGATATTGCAGTGTACTTTTTGAAAGTTATCAACAAAAAACCCTCTTAATGCTGCCTAACTCTCATAATTGTAACATTATGTGTTACAAGTCTAAATCTCATGCAGATCACTAGTCCCCCTTAAGAATACAGAGGCCCTCAAATGCCCTGGTACAGCCGAGAGTGGGAAGAGTCCGCTCTCCCTCTTGAAATGCTCTGACATGGCCACATGTATATAGCCTCTTCCAGGAGGTCTACTCATTGCCTTCTCGTGGAGGCGTTATTGTTTACGAAATTGAGAGAACGAAAAGCGAATGTCCGGCGATTTAACCGGGTTGGTGGACATAGAGAGTCCACCTAGAGGAGTTGGGAAACCCTGATTACAAACCAATAGTGCACATGGGCTCCAATTTCCTGAAGGAACAAGTGGCGTATGAACTTGTTGTTGGTCACCGGCTACCATGGTACTACATCTCCTCACGTTGCTCCACTGCCTTGTGGATCAGACCTTCAGGTCGGAGGCTCAGGGAGTGGCCCCCTAAGAAGACCACCTGCTTCAGTTTGGGCACCCTGGCAGTATCACGACCCTCACACAAATCGAATGAGATTTGTGTGGCGCATATGTATCTGGTGCCTCCTTGTACCAATATCTATGTGTTAAAATAAATAAGAATACAGAGACACTGCTTGTTGATCAGTTCCAACTATCAATAAATTCTGTGTATAGATGTTTTTTCCTGATCCCTTTTAGTGATATAACATCAGTTGGTATGTTATTGTAAACAACGATACACTGACACTATTGTTCCCAACTCATCTCATTTGTTTTAATTCTTTAATTATTGTTAATTATTATGTCATTAAGTATATATTATTGTTTAATCCTGATTTTCTAGAATGTTCCATAAGAAAAATGACATTTTGGTGATTATAAACATCAGTCAGTCAGTCGTTACGTAGAACCTGATATGTATGTACATCGGTTCATGTTACTCTAACCTATTAGCACAGAGAGATGAAATGGTAACGTGAAAGATTAGGTATCAAAGATATGAATTGAAAAACAAAAGTTTTAAGGAATTTAGAATGTAGGGAAACGCAAAGAACAGATTCATCTGCACCATTGCAAACGATTTTGAGATATGTCATTCAAAGTCCCTAACCATTGGTTACGATAATCAACCAACCAAGTGGTCTAAACTTGTTACTATGATTCAGTCCAATTGTCAGTGACTTCATGGACTGATGTCATGTTTTGGTTTTGCCGCCCCTAAATTTCTTACAGCCTACTCCTGCACCAGAAAACATCACTCATCGAGGTAGGCAGTGGTTGGACATACGTAACACATGTTCCAACCACCTCAGTGGATGAAGATTTACTACATGTTCAACTATTTTTCCATCTTTCAGTCAGTCATCTACAACGTAGGACTAGGCACATATATAGATCTGTCCAAGTCTCCATACCTCATCAGCACATCAAAATGAACACCGGATTCATAAAGTAGTTACTTTAATGGTAATAATATATAGATGAAAGGTTGTGTAGAAGGATATAAAGCAATTTTAATCTCACGGTTTGAGAAAAACAAAGAGTGTATACACCTATACCATTGTGATCGATTCTTAGCCATGTCACACACAGTCTCCAACCATTGGTTACGATAGTCACTCAGACCCCAACCAAGTAGTCTGCAACTACCAACATGACTCAGACTGGACGTTAGTGACTTCAAGCACTGATAACATGTTGTGATTTGGACGACACTAACTTTCGTCCATCCATCTCCAACACTAGTCAGTATTGCGCATCGTAGTTATCGGTATTCAACCATACGTAACACGTGGATCAACCATCTCAGTCGATGCAAAATAACAACCTCATCAACTGATTTACTATCATTCCCTTATACCCTGTGTCTATCCTCACCATTACTTACCCGGTAGATGCAAGTAATATTTCCAAGACATTTGTGATCGAATACTTGTAGTTTACGAGTATTTTCTACTCTTAAAGGCCAGATTTCGCAGCCGTAAAATATAACAGAACGAACTGCTGCACAGTATACTCGTCCCTTAATTGATAGACGGATATCTTACCTTCGTCATAGGTAACATAGGTTGGCAAAATCCAAACGACCTTTTTGAATCCGTGCTGAGATTTCGTCAGGCACCAACCCATTAGGGCTAATCAGACTAACATGAAAATTACTCACAAAAAGGTTGTGTGTGATCAACCTCAAGGAGTTGTCCCATTGGGCACTGTAGTCACACTCTCACGTCAATAAAACCACCCGTATTCTAATTTTAGGTACATTCAGAAGAACCATTCTACGGTATGGGCTATGGGCAACCGAGAACTAACAATCACCCTGGTACCTCTAACAGCATTCAAGATCACATTTCTGTTTATACACATATCTTATCATCTTTTCTATTATTTAAAATATTCAATAAATTTTCTTAAAAATCAACTGATTTGTCACCGTGTGTATTGTCATTACTGTTTAACCAAATATAATCATTTTGTATGGGTCACACTCGGAGCTTTTGACCTAAAGGTCTCATCCACAAGGCAGTGAAGCAACGTGAGGAGATGCAGTCGCATGGTAGCAGGTGACCAACATTTGGTTCCTTAGAATCCTGGAGCCCATGTACACCATTGGTACACCAGGGTTTTTCAACTACCTTAGATAGATCCTTCGTACACCAGCCTGGTTAGAGCTCCGGATATTGGTTTTTTATCCTCTCAATTTCGTAATTAACAGTAATACTGTGAGAAGGCAGTAAGTAGGACTTCTTTGTTAATGGTTATATACACGTAGCCACTTGAGAGCATTTCTCAAGGGAAAGCTGATTCTCCCCAATCTTGACTGATACATTGATTTTAATGATTTGAGAAGATAATCTAACGTGTTGTACACTAACTTATTTTAAAATCATATTCATTCATTTTATATAATTGAATTGACTCCGTTTTTTTTCTTTGTTTAAATACGTCTTGTAGTGTGCATATTGTGGACGTATAGCCTATTATTATTGTTGTTGGAATACATCGTATTGCAATAGTACTTGCCAGTCGAAACATTGGCCTTTTCATATGGCTTCTTGTGTACAAGTTAAAAGTCAATTGAATAATAATAATAAGAATAATTTAAATGGTTCTATACGTCATCATTCTCAATCACCCAACATAACCAATTCATCTAATATCACCGATCAACCACATTTCTCTTTAACACAACCATCGATTCTTCAACATATTCCACAAAATCCTCCTCCTCATCATCATCACCACCACCACCAACAACAACAAAGAATGATTTTACCGATTACATCAAATCCATCAATTGGTATGTATCAATTAAACAAGGATGGTACTTTATTAACTACCAGTAATACTTTATTTCAACGTTCAGTATCATCATCTTGTGTTTTACAATCTCAACCATTTAAGAATTGATTCTTTTTTTTATTTTGTGTTGGTTTTTTTTACTGAATCTCAATTGTTGTTTTTATTTTTCTTATGTGTAATTAGTTACATTTTAATACTTTGTATTAATTTTACTGTATATTGAACAAAGTTTATCTGATGTAAGTAAAGTGTGACATTTTTTTCTGTAGTATATAGTGTCTAAAGGTAACTGAAGAAAGTCTATCGTGGAAGAAATCTTTAACTTCGAGTATATAATCTTCTAGTTTGAGCAGAGATGAATAATTAGCTGTATGTATCTACATTTTAGAGTTGATGTTCACTGTGAAACTCCAGCCTGGTAACGTTCGCTTGAAACGCTATTTCATTATCGACTTATCTACTGACTCCTGATAGCCACTAGCTTGTGCAGTGGGATGAAGTGTAAATTCATTTTTATATGGTTTGTTTGAATCTTACCATTGATATATAGGACTACAGTTGATCAGTCTTATATTGGCATATATACATCCCTCAGTATCAAGGCTATCCGCCCCCAAATGCCCTGGTATTGCTGAGAGTGGGGTGGGCCCTCTCGAAATGGCCACGCGTATATAGCCTCTGCAAGGGAAGTCCTACTCATTGCCTTCTCGTGGCGGGGTGTTGTTTACGAAATTGAGAGGACGAAAAGCAAATGTCCGGCGCTTTAACCAGATTTCAAACCAATGGTGAACATGGCTCCAGTATCCTACAGGGACAAATGGCGTATGAACCGATTGTTGGTCACCGGCTTCCATGTGACTGCATCTCCTTACGATGCTCCACTGCCTTGTGGATCAGACCTTCAGGTCGAAGGCTCCGGATGTGGCCCCCTAAGAAAACCACGTGCTTCAGTTTGGTCACCCGGTCAGTATCACAGCCCTCACACAAATCAAGTGACTAGTGTGGTGCATATGTATTTGGTGCCTCCTTGTACCAATGTTTATGTGTTTAAATAAATAATGATAAATAAATAATTAAGGCTATCCACGCAGGATGCACATATACCAACAAGAGACTGATCAATTACAGTCCTATGTTTCAATGGGAAGATCAAACAACCAATACAAAAGTGAATTTTCTATTTTACTGTATGATATTATATCAGTTAGTTCAATCTCATCTAACTAATTGACAATCCACATTCTTAATTACACAAGGTTCAATTAATCCAGTCGAAGTTGACAGTACTTTTGCATACAAATCATGTGTTTGAGAGAATGAAAATTGATGTGTAGTTATCATTAGACATTCTTAGAACTAGTGTTATAATCATTTGTCTATGAAATATCATTTCAACAACTCTGCAATGCATGTAACAATCTGTATAACATTATTATAGGGAGTTATTTGACACATATCTCGTACCGTAACTAAGAGACCTAATAGTCTTTCACATTTATATTTCTATATTTAGTAACTTTCTCTGGGAACATTACTTTTGACTACTGGATATGCTAAGTCATTCAAAATGATTAATTTAAATATAAGTTCATTAATAAAGTGTATGTATAAATACATAGCCGCTCTAAGTCTTGCATTGTACATACATGAGCTAATCGAATACCATCCTTGTACTCAAACTTTAAGTACAGTGGGAAGAGGTTTAAACTGATGGATTAATGGTTAAAAGTTGATCATTTTGACGTGTGAGACAGTTTCCAATTTCTGGCTCACTGTGCTTGAATGTAAGATAATTGTTTTGGTTTGATAACTATTGCCATTATCACAATTCTCTTCCTGAGCATAGACGAAACGTGCAACCGCAACGATGTAACGGAAAAAAAATGGAAAGTAAGAAAAAGTAAAGACAGTAAATGAAGCTCTCCTAGGACCTTCTCTTATGGTAGTATGCTGTGTATCTTGATATCTTTCGAAATGATTGGAATTTAGTTATACTCTACATTTGTCTGTTCTCCAGCTAGTTGATTCAACATCTAGTTCTTACTTACTTACTATACTTACGTCTGTTACTCCCAATGGAGCATAAGCCACCGACTAGCATTCTCCAACCCATTCTGTCCTGGACTTTCCTTTCCAGTTCTGTCCAATAGTTGTTCATTTTTCTCATGTCTGTTTCCATTTCTCGGAGTAATGTGTTCTTTGGTCTTCCACTTTTCCTTTGGCCTTGAGGATTCCATGTGAGTGCTTGTCTTGTGACGCAGTTGGATGCTTTCCTCAATATGTGTCCTATCCACTTCCAACGCTTCTTCCTGTTTTCTTCCTCCGATGGGATCTTGTTTGTTCTCTCTCACAGTAGTTTGTTGCTGATAGTGTCTGTTAAACAACACTTGTATCTTCTAGATGATGACTTTCGTGGTTCTCAAAGTTTCCGCCCCATACAGTATAACTGTCTTGACATTTGTACTGAAAATTGTAACTTTGGTGTTGATTGACAGTTGTTTTGAGTTCCGTATGTTCTTCAAATGTAGGAATGTTTTCCTTTCTTTGTCCATCCGCGCCTTCACATCTGCATTAGATCCACTGTGCTCATCAATGATGCTGCCCATATATGTAAAGGTTTTTACATCCTCCAAATATGATTTGATTGGTGCATGTTGTGTTGTATCGAAGAATCTTACTTTTCCCTTTGTGCATGTTGAGACCTACTACTTATGAGGCTGATGTTACACTGATCATCTTCTCCTGCATTTATTGATGCGTGTATGATAGAAAAGCTAGTTCATCATCTTCGCCTGGAGCCCTTTTGAGACTACTGCCGGTCTCAAGTCCCAGATAAAGGAAGATGTTTGGGCATGGGTTTAGCGATCCCATCCCCTAAAAAAAATAATCCAAACACCTATTTCATATGTGTATATGTATATTTCTAAAACAGGACTAGGTTTGAAATGCATAGAAAGAATCGTAAGTTTCATATTGATCGATTATCAGATATAGATATATCAATCAACGAATGGAAACATACTAAAATACTTTATTTGTCATTCATTATTTAGGTGTATACACTCTTTGTCTTCCCTTAAACTTTCTTTCTGTACTATATCCTTACATAAAATCTTTCCTTATATATTATATCATTGAGTTAACTATTATTTCTATGAATTCAGTGTTCATCTTGTTGTGCTAATGAGTGGACTGTAATAACTTGGACCGATGCATATATATGCCTGGTCCTACATTGTAACTAACTGACTAATTTAATGCTTATTCCAATTGTAAATGTTTGTTTTTTATATTGTTATTCTATTTATTTTTAACAATCATATTCTTGTTTTGTGGAATCCAGTACCCGTGTTTCGTCCTATTTGGGACTCGTCAGTTTTGCTTATAATGCTTGTAAGTTAAGGCAATACGCACAGTATGCATATATGCCAATAAGAGACTGATCTATTTCAGTCCTAAATATCAGCGAGAAGATTCAAGTAAAACAATATCGAGTGAATTATAACTAAATTCGTTTATACCCTTGTTTGATCCAAGTTTTTGTACATTTGATGTTTGTTTGTTTGTTTGTATTTCGTCACTGTTGTCGTCAATGTGATTTTTCACGTTTCCGTACAATGAATAATTGATCTATTGTTGTAGTGTTACATAGTCAGTCAGCAACAGCATAGAACTTCGTAGGTATGTACGTACATCACTTCAAGTTGCCATATCACATTAACACAGAGTTTCAATTGTCGATTCAAATCCCATAGTGATAGAGATAGTAAAAGTATAAGCAGTAATCGGAAACATTAGGCTTTGAAGATGTTATTCAAGGAGTATAAGTCAGTGAAATAAGTTTGGAAGGAGAAAAAAAATGGGAACATGAAGAATTCAGAGGATTAGAATTTGGGAGAACACAAAGACTGGATGAACCAACGCCATTCCAAATGATTTCGAGCTATGTCACATTCAACGTCTCTAACCATCGGTCGCTATCATCTCGCGGATCCCAACCAGACAGTCCACACCTACCAGCATGGCTCAGTCCACTTGTCAGTGACTTAATGGATTTGTGCCATGTTTTGGTCTGGCCGTCACTAGCTTTCCTCCAACCTACTCCTATGCAACAAAACGTCGAACTTCGAGGCAGTCGGTGATTGGGCATACGTAACACTTGTTACAGTCATCTGAACTGATGAAGTTTCACTACTTCATTAATTGATTTGCCATCCTTACCTAGTACCCGTTTCTATCAACTGCATTGCTTACTCGGCGGTCCCAGAATATACGAGCAATGCTTCGACGACAACTACGATCGAATACTAGTAACCTAAGGATATCCTCTACTCTTACCGGCCATGTTTCACTGCCATCAATTAGGACGGAACGAACTGCTGCACAGTAAACCCGTCCTTTGTTTGGAAGACGGATATCTCGCCTACGCCATAAATGACGCAAGTTGGCACAAACTAGTCGAGTCTTCTGTATCCATGCTCAAATTTATACTAACACATCAAAGAGGCATATGTTTTTGTGGATGAATCTGACGGAAAATAATACACTAGCTTATTGATTGAATTATTTTACATCGATAGTTGTATTTACATGGTAATTGTTTCGTTCCACAAGTATCAAAATCAAATCTAGACTGAGCCTAATTAAGTAAGTATTGAAAAGCAAGTACCAATCGATAGTTGTTTCATCAGCAGTGAACATTCATGAACGTTGAACCTTGAAACCTGTAGGTTGGTATGGAATAGTTTACATTTAAAATTTCAATCTGCTGATAATTGTGATATTTTCTCTGAAACTGAACATCATTAAACTTTATTAGTCATGAATACGCCTCCAAATGCCCTGGTATGATCGAGAATGGGGCGAGTCCGCTCTCCCTGTCGAAATGCTCTCACATGGCTACGCGTATACAACCACTGATAGGTGAGTCCTACTCACCGCCTTTTCGTGGCATTACTGTTGTTTACGAAAGTGAGAGGATGAAAAGCGAATGTCTGACAGTTTAGCCGGGTTGGTGGGTACGGAGAATTCATCTAGGGGAGTTGGAAAACTCGTATTCCAAACCGATGGTGCACATGGGCTTCAGGATCTTGAAGGAACAATCGGCG